ATCTCATAGAGGTCTCACTATGGATGCGCTTTTTCATGTTTCCCTTCAATTGGCTTGGTGGCGGTTGCACCGGAGCACGGTGTGCTCCGTGCAGCCACTCCATTTGGGCATGTTCCGTCGCGGCCGCACAGACTACATTTACACTGCTACACAGTCTAGTCAAGATTTCACTGTTGCCTCCATGATGGATACGATAAATGACACTACGGACCTCCCAGTTTCGACGGCAAAACTATGTTTAAAGGCTGCAGAGGAGTATCAGGAGGCTGTCAAGCTCGTTATGCTTGGTAACGGTGTCCATAATCATCTGTTTTCCTTGAATACAATATCGCATCGCTTGTACGGCCGTACACCGCAGTTGTTTATGGGTGACGCTTACGCGACTTTGTGCGAACCAAAGCTTGTTATGGCGGAGTGTAGGTCCCCCGCAGCGATCGCGTCCTTGCTGGCACCACGCAATGAGGGCTATGGAGTATCGTACACGCGTGTTGGTAATACCTTAGTATTAATGATATCGACCTGGAAGAACCTTCATAGTCCTCAAAGCTCGGCGACAGACTTTACAGAAGCTCTGATTCGCTCAATCAATGATGTCTTCAACTTACTTTGGAACTCCACAAAATGAAGTCGGCGTCCTTTGCTAGGGCCCTAGACATTGATATTTTAAACAGATTTCAATTAATGTTTGTGTCAACCACATCAAAGGAAAACTTCATGCTTATAAACAGATATACCCGTTCAGTAGGACAAATTCTGTTAGTGAGATTTGAACGGTAGAGGGATAATCCTGTCAACTGTGTCTATCTACTGACACCAGTAGCAGCGAAAGGGGGGAGGATCAAGAGGCTAAGCTCTAAAGATGAACTTTTTAATCCTTTTTCTTGCACATAACTTTTTTTTCATGCCTATGAAACAGACAAAAAAAGTTGTCTTTTTCCAAACGTGAAGTAATTATCGCGGACGGAGGATCGCACCTTCTATATTTATATACCAAATATCTAGCAAAGAAAAGGATTACTGGAGAGGTATATAGGTATCTTATACTCCTGACATTATAGATTTAAACTTTGAAGCATACGTGCACTAAAATTTTTTTTTGTACCTATGCCACCCAAAAAGAGGACGCAAGCAAAATCTGATGCAGCAGCGGATGCTCCTCCCGAGCACATGGAGGCTTCTGAAATCGCAACAGATGCTCCAGCACCAGTCGAGACCGCATTGGCTAACGACGGTAACCCTGCAGCAGTGTTTGCGCAGCTGCAGGAAGCCGTAGAGGGAGACGCAACGAAAATTAATAATCACCTGGGCGCTCTGCTGAGCCTTGTGCAGGCTGCTGAAAATACTCAAACGTCCATTTTTCTACGAGTGCGTTTCTTAGAGTTGATCGCCAAGCACGTGGTGCATATTCGGGACAACAATGCGCTCAAAAAAATTGTCACATCTCTTGTTAAAATTATTGGCGGAGACGACAACACACCACAGCTGCTGGTGGCCGCGTTGCAGTGCTTCAGTGGACTCGGTCCCGTTTCGATGCTCGAAAAACAGTGGGAATACCTCTCTCGTGAAGGCGCGGATATTCTCATGCAGGTTATAATCGACAAGGAGGCTTTTCCAGAGTCAGTACGCCAGGCCGCACGCAAGTCACTGGATGATCTTACCGAAAGTGCGTTCTGCCCAGTGGTGACGAAGCTCATGCATTGGCTCAGTGATGATCGTGAAGATGATGATGAGGAGCAGCTTTTCAAGGAACGACACATGGCACTTTCCGTCCTCAACCGTGTTTCGCGTATGCAGTCGCTGAAGTCTCAGTGGACGGAGGAAGTTCAGGAGCTTGTATATCACCTAATCCTACGCATCTTCGACGTCGTGAACGTGCGTGAGTTCACGCAGCTGGCCCGCATAGCTGCGCACCTGCCCATCATTGTCGCGAGGGGCGGGGGTAATTTTGTATTAAAGTCGTACCTGTCTAACCACAAAATCGACAGCGATCGTCAGCTCGAGGCGGTCGTTATTCTCGGCCGTTTTGTGCAGATGAGGGATCAAAGTGATGAGCTTGATTTGACCCCTGCTTTGGAGGCTGTCGGCCTTCTGGCCCATGAAATTGACACTGTGAGCGAACGTGGGTATTTGACTGCACGTATGGTACTTTTGAGTGCACGACTGGCTGGCTCCGAGGCCGCTGAAAAGCTCCTTCCATATATCTTTCATAATTTGATGCACTTGCTGGGCGGGGACGGCACATCGATGCCTGAAAACATTTCCACACTAGAAGCTATGTTGTTTGCCATGGTCGCGATTGCTCGTAAAAAGCCCCGGGAAGTCCTTCAGAAAATACACAATGAAAATTTTAACGCAGCTATGAACAACCTTATGAAAGCAGTGACATCATTAGAAAATCAGGCACTTTTTTCTGTAAAGAAGTTGATGATGAGAGGGGAAGCCAAAGATGCGGATGCGGAGACTCTGGCATGCTTGCACAACATCTGTGTAATTGCAGGTAGCATTGCCTCCAAACATTTACCCCTAAGCGAACTCAAGGAAAGTTGGTCCGAAAAGCAAAGCTTACCGGTTTTGAAGAACATAAAAGCGGTGGGGGGCAGCACTGCTCCGCTTCCACCACCACCCGGAACCGCTGCGTCGGCATCTGGCTTTCGAAAACCGCGCAATGGTCTCCAAAAGCGTCAGCGTGTGCAAATGGGTCGCAGCACATCAAACGGGGGAAGGATACACTCTCGTCGATAGTGTAGAGGCAAACTTCAGTGACGACTAATTTTTTCTTAAGAAAAATGAGAAAATCAGTAGCCCCAAAGAAAACTGAAGGATTGCAGTGAATATTGTATTCGGAAGACGATCCGAGGAGAACACTAAAGTAGCGAGTCTCCTTTCGCTTAATCTCAGTTAAATATAAACTGTGCTTCGTTTTTAGATTGGATGTGGCTAAATCACATTTTCACACCACTTCCTCAGTGACCCCCGTTTTTGTATGTTTTTATATCAAATCCTTCCCAATATATGTGAACCTGTTGTTAAGCAAATAAGTGAAATAATAGTAAGGTACAGGCCTTCTCTCTAATGAGAGTGTAGAGAGAGAAGCAACAGATTGGAGCGTATAGAAAATTTCATAGTGATGCCAATGGTGCTAAATAATTACTGAAAGGACTCTTTTTTGTCAAATGAATAGTTTCAATATTTGTCTTACTGTTCATATTTTTGTTTAGTTTGAGCTCATGTAGGAAGCGTTTTAGTTAACCTTTTAACGTGTAACACCCCCTTTAATATATGTGTAAAAAAACAGTAGAAAAAGAAGCTTCGTCTAGTATAAATCTAGTAGGTTTCTTTGATTTCCTAAACGAAGGCTCAAGGAATGATCTTTTTCTTTCTGCTTTTCCGGCGGTCGCTAGTGGTGCAACCCAGGCTATCTTATTCAATCCAATAGACCGCGCTCTGTACATACGAGTACAATATAGACGTAAGAGATTCCTAGACAAGCGGAACTTTCAACGTCCGTTTCAAAGCTTCCTTAATGCTGCAGTATATCGAACTCTTGTAAGCGCTTCCTATATGTTTTGGCAGGATACCTTTGATCTATACATCAGGCGCCACCTACCAAGCTTTTTCCATGCTAGCGAATCACCCCGGCTTAACTCATTCATTCTTGGATTAGCGGCAGGTTCCATAAGTGGGTTTTCGCTGAACGTAATGCAAGCGATAAAATTTCGCATGTGGAGTTTAGACTCGAAGCGCTCTTCCTTTCTTAGAACTGCTTGGCACATGTACAGGGAGGGCGGCGTGTTGATTTTTTTTCGTGGGTGTATTCCGACCGTCGCACGCGATAGCGTATTTGGGATAGTGTATGAAACAGTGCGAGGTATCAATATTTGGCAGAAAGCTTACGACCGATTCCTTAATGGTCCCTTGGGCTCAGACGTGTCGCATCATGAAAGCGTAGGGATGGAGGTTTCAATGCTTAAGGAGGAAGCCCCGGGAGTTGCGGCCACTGTCACCCCTGCAGCACAGGCGAGTCCTGCCGATAATAAGCTGTTGTCTGAGCAAAGGGAGGAGGGGCCCCCAAAACGTAGGTCAATTCCTTTTATTTCGAATATGATAGCAGCTACTCTAGCTTCAATCATTTCATCACCGTTTAACTATGTGCGCTCTGTTGTCTATGGGACCCCACCAAAAGCCTTCCCGCTCAGCTACACAACCCTTCACCGTTCCTTTTTAATGCAATTTTTATATGTCTATCATAACGGGGAGAGCTACGTCGAAAAGTACACTTCTCCAAAATACAGGAAGGTAGGACATGATGGTAGTGAAGTCTTATTGATGCAGTCTTCTTCCACGGAGTCCTCATCGACACGGCCGCGTCCTGTTGACAATCGATTCAACATTGTGAGGGGGCGGATGTTACAATGGTCCAAGGGTCATCATCCCGTGGCTGCATGCCAATGGGCGAGTACCCGCTTAAATGTCGGTTGGGGTTCCATACGCGTGGGCTTAGGTATGGCTATTAGTCAAGGCACATTTCACTTGATACAGGAATGCATTATTAAATTCAATCGTGCTATACACTAAAATTGTATTACAAGCGCTGAATTACAGACATAAGTTCCCTAAAGGAGTTTCGCTACAAGGGTTGTTATGTGTAAACCTAATCCTATAATTCATACGTTATTAACCTCCAGAATATAGGAAACAATCAAAATGTTGTAGAGTTCGATTATTTCCTGTTCCTTATAAAGGGAGTATAAATGTTATATATATATATATATGTATATACGTGCATATATTTCGAACACTCTTTCTGGGATCAACTTTATTAGCATGTGCCATTACTCTTTTTTTACCTTTGAAATTCAATAACAAAGTCTCCTTGGCAAAGTTGCGTTAGCTTTTTTGTCTTCTTTGCACCCTTTTCTAAAATAAAAAACATTTGCGTACGTGAAGCAGCAACGTGAGTTGATCATCCTTCACCGCGTTTTTTTTTAAAGCGCTTGTTTATTATTTTAGCGATTATTAGGTGCGCAGCAAGACGGCAGGAATCTTTGCAAAGCTTTCAACAATGCATCTTAGATACAGGACAGGGTGTCTTGTTTACATGAGTACCAAGCATGCCCCGTGGCGCTATTTCCGTCCACATGCTAAGGCATGCGATAATTCTCACAAGCTACATTATGAAGTGTTAGCTGAGTCGTTCAGAGGGATCGCTCTTTCTCGGACCTCTTTTCAGTTAAATTCTTCTGATAGAAAATCACTGACTTCCAGTGAACAAGCGCCAGTGGTTAAGGATGAGGATGTTGTAACCTCCCTTCAGGGAGTGTTGAAGCGTGCGGGGCCCCTTCCATTATCCAGAATCAGTTTGTACCTTGACGATGATTCCATGGAGTATATTTCTGGATATGCGGGTGGCATGTTAGGGTTTTGCAGCGGATATCCTAGTGTTTTTAATGTTGTAGTGCTCCCTAAACGCATTCATGTTTTGGTGAGCAACGAAGAATATATTTGTATACCTCCCAGAGATCGGAAGATATGCATGTGGATCGCGGCGGCTCTTGTAACAGCCCTTTATATGCCCAAGGCCATTCCCCTACCCGTCGCGCCAAACACCGGCCAACTGCTTCAGTATATGAGCGAAAACCTGGGAGAATTTTTTTTAAGTGGCACGATTCAAGTTTCCCAAGCCATGCTGAAGGATAAACTGCGGCAATATCCCCATATTTTTGCCTACCATGGCGACCGTATCTGCCTGGCTCAGCATCACTTCATTCTTTTGGGGAACACCGCCGACGCCGTTGCTCAGGTTATGGGACTCGCTAGGAGATGTACCCCGTCAACCACGCCTTCCGCCCCTACCGCGTTCACTCCTGCCTCGACGACCCCAACCTCTCGCCACGCACAGGTGGACGTGGGCATGGCGAGTCTTATCGCCTTCATCAAGACACACGTCCCTTCGACTTTTTCCGTGCCCTTGGCCTATCTCCTGCAATGCTCGGGCGCGGAAGGGGTTTTTGGGAGAGACCCCACCTTGGACACGGTGCGGGCATCTATCACAAATGGCGTGCCCAATGATTTTTTGTGGATTCAGATGATTGCCCCGACGTTGGAGGGAACTTATGTGCGGCGACTGAAGCCCGAGGACGCGGACTGCCTCGATAGTGAAGTCATTCCCCCTGGCGTAAGGGGGGCGGTGCCGGGAAGTGCCGTAACAGGAGAGTCAAGGCTGCAACCACACCAACCACCTGAGATAGCTGCACAAGCGTACAACATTTTTGCTTTGGGGGAGAAGCTAACCCAAGAACTTATTCGCTTTAAGGAGCAAAGTGAACTCAACTATATGCGTCTGGTAAGAGGTGTAAGGATGATGGAACTGGAGTCTGAGGTACTCTCCAAGGACCTCGTCAAGGAGATAGAAGGTTTCTTTGGGATCAGCAAGCTACCGAACTCAGGCTTAAATTGCTATCTTCTGATATTTGATAGGCTGCGTCACCTTTACGACGTAGATGTGCAGCAGGGCTGTGTTCGCCCGTGGGCGCTCCTTCAGCCTGAGGAGCAGCCTAGCAGTCTTACAACTACCACTACACCTTTACCATTGGTCCTGCACAGTCTACAGTTGATGCTGTCGCGCGGACCCTTGACAACAAGTGTCCTGTACGAACGCCTCTCAAAACTTTGTCAACGACAGCTCCTATCCTTATATTACCAGGGTTCTTGGATGCAGATTCCAAAGTCAGAGCTAGATACACCCGATGCGATTGCTCGTGGGTGCGAATCGCTTCGAGCCTTTGTGGAAAAGCACTCGTTGTATTTTGTCGAACGTGAGAATGGCTTACTATGCACCCCAGCGTACCTGGCTTCCGAAATGGCGAAGTCAGTATCATCGTCACGCAAGCCCAATGATTTTGACTACCTTGTGCAGCGAGGTACGAGAAGATTTTCGGATTTCGAGATGGCAGAAATGATCTACAACACTCTGCCCACCCACGAACCAGTGATGTGGGTAAGCTTCAGCAAAATTCCAGAGGTGAGAAGGAGCTTACCGTCTGAAGCACTCAATCTGCGCCTGGAGTTCTTTAAACGCTTCATCTCCTACTTTGTGACTTACGAAGCCTTTTTCAACAATCGGTTGATCCTGGGGCGCGCAGGTTGTGATGCTCCTCCACTAGACGTCCTACAGCCACCGCTTAACAATATCAAAGCGATGATTAAATTCATTGCACTCCACTCCGTCGGTGGTGTTTCGGAATCCGAAATTCTGACCACAATATCTAAGGAAGGTCGCGCTTTCATGAAGACGATTGGGACCTGTGTAGACTTGGTAGAGCAGCTTCCAGAGTGGTTTGAGGTTCGTCGAGATATTTCTCATGCAAGCAGCTCCATTATCACTTATGTCGGCACAAAAAACGCCTCACTTGAGGAAGAAGACAGCTATTTCTCTGAATTCTTGCCGCTGCGGAAAAAGCTAAATAATGCTTCGCTAGTTGAAATGACGTCTGATACCGCCGAATTTACCTACACAGAGAATAGCGAGCTGTGGTAAGTGTATGATTGAAAAAGGGAGTATATATGTATACTCTACACTGAGGTAGAAAGCCTATAACTATCTCAAGTTTTATTACATTTGGTCATTATTTTTGCTTTCAATTCACTTGTTTACTTTTCATTGTGTGGCGTGCTCTCAACATCCTTTTCTCTTTCGCTCTTACTTCGATACTTTCGCTTTGATGTGATAGATTTACCTAACGTTGGAAGCGAGAAAAAAGGAAAATATGCGCCGCTCGGTCTTTTACATGGGCCGTAGTTTCACCCGGCGGCATCTCAATGCATGCCGAAGCCCTTTGGCAACGGGATATATACGGCCAAACTGCTTTTCGTTCACTACCAAGGGATTGGCGTCTTCTCCGTTGCTAACGAGTGCGTTGTCCAGTGCATGCAACTCGCCAGGTTCTTTACTGCCGTCATCTAGTAGCATGGACGGGAACCTCAGCCAAATTTTAGCTACTGTCATGGCACAGGGTTCGCTAGCGTCGCTCTGGTTGGCCACAGGTTGCATTCGAAATATAGCAATGTGTATAGCATGTGAAAGGGTATTATGCGGAGTTGTGAGTCTATCTCTGGTGGTTGACAACAACAAATGTTAATAGACCTTTGCTCTAAAAGAGCAACCAATCAAACTGGAAAAAGCGCATTGCCATTGCTATGGATATTTCTTCCCTTACCCAGGAGCCTTCTCGTTGAATTTTTTTAATTGGAAAAGATATTTCTCTTATTTTTCAGTCCTTGAATTACTTTTTCGTTATTTTTGCGTTATTGACAGTTTTAAGTGAGTACGCAAAAAAGGAAAAATGATTTCGTGAGTGTGAAGCATGCATATGACGCAATATTCCTTTTTTTTTGTCCCAAATTAAGGCTATCGTAATCAATTTCTAATACACACCCATATATATATATATATACTACATGATTCTTCACATGGAACTCGTATTCTCACGTATCAATCGCACCCATTTTGCTGAATGGAAAAAAATTAGAGTTACAGTTCCTTTGGTTCTTATTGCTGCGGAAATTCATATTTACATATTACTTTTGGAATGAATATTGTTAATTTATCGCAGGGGTCGTTAGCTAAAGATGGATCTTGATGTTCCGCTGTTCACAGTCGCAATCCTCAGGTGCTTTCAAATAAATTCGGACATTAAGATGGAGCCATTTTTTTTCTTTATTATTCCTTCATATTTCTTTGCTTGTCTGTATATGGGAAGGGTGGGAGAAAGTGATTTGCACCGCATTGTGGGTACGTTTTTTATTCATCATTAGTTTATTACCCAAGTTTTCTGAAAGAAAAGCATAAATGAATTTCCAGGTAAAGCTAGAGTCACTCCGCATCGAGGCGATGATGAGTGGACTGAGGGAGGAGTGTTTCAATTCGTGTTGCAAGAGTCTCTCTCAGAATGAATTAACGACCGATGAGGTTAATTGTATTGACCGCTGCTCCTGGCGTTACTTGCATACATACAAGATTGTTAATGATGCTCTGAATCGAGGCATGCACAACGAAAAAAATAAGACATTCTAATGATTTAGGCATCCACCGTTTCAGCGCGTCCTTTATCATTTTCATGTATTTTCCGCTCTTTGTTTTGGAGATCTTTTGAGTACTCATATCAAAAGTACTATGTGTGTGTAGATTTTGCCGATTAGTGGACGACTTGAGATGCGTTTAGGCAAGTTGTTTGCATTTGTGAGTTTTCGTAACACTTCTTATGCATGGAAGCTTTATGTCTAAGCTTGACTAACAAGATATAATGAATACTTGCTTCATATTTATTTCAAAGTTTCCTATATAAGGACGTAAACCTCAATGCTGAGCCGTTGGGGACTAGTAAACTGAGGTTCACTTTCTTTTTTTCCAACTTCTATCTTTTCTATCTCTTTCTAAATATGCTTGCTTTATCTCTGGTTTAAAACATGATAATGAAATTTTTTATTTATAGTGATCACAGCAAATAGCTTTTATCTAACGCGATTTAAGTTGACAAGAAAGCAATGTCCCTGCCTAGCCGATATTTGGCGCTGTTAGCTCTCCTTTCACTACTTTCATTCTTCAATATAGGGGCATGTGCCGCAGATGTTTCGTCACCTATAAATCATGGGTCTGAAAATGGTGCAAGGGGTAATCATTTTGAGCACGCGTCCATGAAAGACGATGCCCATAATGCGCATACGCACCAGCAGATGGGCACGGACGGAGATCACTCGTATACCTGCCAGGCCATTTTTCCCAGCAGCAGTTCACCGACATTCCCTACCTTGAACGCTGGTGCCAAGACGCAGGCGCTCATTGCCTTCCACAACTATGATCCCTCTAACACCGTTCACATTCTTCTCGCCTCCGGTAATCTTATATTTAGGAATCAGGATAGAGTGCTTCAGAACTTCTCGGTGGTGCGCAACGCACGTGTTGTGAGGCCTGGTGAAACGGTCACCGTGGACTACCGCTTCACACCCAGTCCTGGGTTGGATCCAGGTATGTACTCCGTCTTCCTTGGCCTCCATTGTATGGACACCACCACAAACCGCACCTTCCTTGCCACCGCCTTCAGAGGTGAAGTCCTGATCGGCGACACCCTCAACTCAGACGCGCGCACTATCCTCACATACTTCACACTTATCGCGATTATATTAGTGATGGTGTACGGTATCTGCGCGCGCCTCGGCCTCATCCGTAAAATTGTAGCTCTATGGCGAAGTCGCAAGCAGCATGCTCAGCCGCGCGTGCACACGGAAACGGGAACTGTAGACAACAACTATGACCCGGAATACATCTCAGCAGAGCATCTCCGTTATCGTGACGCGATGCTGAAGCGTCACAATTCTCCTGCGAGCGCACGCAAGAAAAATTAAAGGAGGGAGGAGGATTAAGGCAGTGGTAGTACTGGGGGGGGGGGGGGGGGCGGAGGATATTCGTGCGCGGGATAAGCGCGTGTGGTAACATATAAGACCCTTTCGAACTAGTTAAAGCAGTGTTTCCTTGATGCGAACGCGTGGTGAATGTTCCTTTTCTTATCAGTGGTCTGTAGCGAGGTGGAAAAAATAAGAGTGAAATGCTTATGTATAAGAAGGAAAGGTTTATTGATACTGTGGGCTTTTTTTCCAAGGTTAATCTTAATAACTGTTTTTATAATTCTTTCGTGTCACTGGATAGCTCTGATATCTTGCTTCAGTGTATAATTTGTTTGAGGGAAATGTATGGCTGTTGGAAAGAAACGTCTTTTAGCTAGCGATAATTCAAAAGATTCTTTTTCTGAATTCATTTAGGAAGACATCAGCATCAACAGAAGGAAAAGACTTTTCCATTTTTACCTTTTTTCCCAAAAAGTGAGTTATTAGGTGGGAGTGACTTGGGAGGTTGAATAATACAAAAAGTAACGTAATTCAACGCACATGGATGTCCACTGTTTATGTTACATGCTCTCAAAGGATGCTTTTCCTCTGGCTATTTTCCTCTACTTTCTATGGAAGTAGGAATTTAAGATTAATTATGTATACCTCTACTATTTCTCTTGTCTATCTTCGAATAGGAAGGGCCGAGCTTCTATAACAAGAAAGACTACTGTCTTTGAATCAAAAACGTTTTTATTTATATTTCACATTTATGTGGAGGTAAACAGTACATTAACATAAAAACCAGTGTGCGCCACTACAACTATGTTGTACCACAAGGCAGTGACAATTAATTCATGTTACGTTGACTTTGAGTGAATGGGTGTATTTTCTGGAATGCCAAAAGGGGCTTGAGTTTGGCCCTGAATGTATGGTCATGTGTGAATCAGAATCTGACGATCACCCAAAGAAGCTGAAGTATGGAGGTGGAAGTGGTATAAATAGGGGTCCCATGAATTTATAGAGTTCTTTACCTTATTTCCCTGCATACGATGTGTGTGCGAAAGCTATTCAAGCCTGGAGGTGGTCGTTCCTAAACTGCTACAAGAGTGACAGCGATACCAAACGAGAGGGTACACACTGAGGTTTAGAGAGAAAGCGCCTGGCCTTATTTTCTTTGTGTATATATTTTTTACATTGCGCATGGAAAAATATCATTTGTTTTCATTCTCTACTTAAAATGCAACAAAGTGTACGGCTCATTTTATTATTGAAAGTTAGCAAAATCAAAGTGATACTTATTTATCAATGTGCAACGAACGGCGTGTCTGCATTGAAGGGGCGAAGAATTTTCGAGATTTAGGTGGGTACTTAACAAGTGATGGGCGGTATCGTACAAAGTGGCGTCGATGTTTCCGCAGTGATCATCTTGGGAATGTCCCTTCGACAGACGGCAACTTCCGTCTCATACGCGACACGCTGAATATTGGATGTATCATAGATCTCCGAAGTCCGGAGGAGCGCAAGGAGCATCCTTACATGATCCCAGGTATCCTGTTGTACAAGATACCCATCACAGCGACTGTGCCTACGCTTAGTAAGTCCGAGCGCTTGGCTTTATCGACCGGTGAGCATGCGGAACGTTGCATGTATTTTCTATATGAATTCTTTGTAGATCTCAAATCAGTCTGGAAAGCATTTTTCAGAATTTTAGTAGTTCAGGCACAAAAGGATTACGCTGTGTTATTTCACTGCAAGACAGGTAAGGACCGGACGGGCTTTTGTGCGGCGCTCATACTGCTTCTATTGGATATCCCCTTGGAGGTAGTATATGAGGATTACTTACTGAGCAATAAATTTTGTGACCTTCCACCTATTGACACGTTGAAGAACATGGATGCGCAGCACTTTGCTGCTGCTGTCATCTCTACAGCTCGACGGGAGTATCTCGCGAGAGCGATTGAATTGCTGTGTAAACGGTATGGCAGCATTAGGAATTATGTAGAAGCAGAACTTGGTGTGACAGCCAAGGAAATAGAGTTGCTGAAACAGATGTTTTTGGAGGAGGTTTAAATGCAAAAAAAATTATCACTGAAGTATGTATGAAGGTGTCTTTAAAACAAATATGTGAGACATTTATATCATTACTAGGTGACAAAAACAGAGGTCCTCACATTTGATTGAACTGCGCATACATGCCAATGTCTTAGTTACACCTTCCATACCCTATGCTTTACTATGGTACGATCTTCCCATTCATCCCATACCGTACTGAATGTTTCATTTTGCAAACCTGCTCCTTCTCAATAGAACTGAATGCTTCGATGTTTCCATGATTTCTTGAAGTGAGATCTCGCTATGTAACTATTAAGAGAGGAATGAAATGAAAAATAGCGCTTAAGACAGACAAACAAACAAAATCCACCTTTCTTTTACTGTTTTATTTAGGATAATAACCATCCTTTCTTCTCTTACTTTTTAAAGTTAGGAATATTTATATTTTTGCTTATATATTGGTTAGTTATTTCTTACTATGTTGTTTTATATACTATTTACGAAGATACGACGTAGCAACGTGATGTGGTACAGAAGTTCGATGGACGTTGTTGATCGTTTACGATAGCTGTACATTTTTTCAAGCCCATTCCTACCCAATACTCTTTTCCGTTCTATTTACCTGAGCGAACCCCCCTAAACCACTGTCTTTCTATCTTTTTCTAATTGTGTGATTTTCTCATTCTCATATTCATTATAACCACTATTCCGAAGAAAGCTAATCACGTCAGACAAAGCCGATTCCAAACTATCACCCTTTGTATTGAACTCAATGTCCACCCGATCCCTCAGTCTCACGTCGTGTGCTTCCCTGCCTGACTCGGCCCTCCCTACAGGTCTCCCTAACGAGCCCGCTGTGCCGTGCGTGGTGGAGTTGGACGGGGCCTCCTGTAAGGGCGAGACCGAACGACAGGTCGGCCATAAACGTCCCCGCGAGCCAAGCCCTATTGCGAGGTCCCCGTCCTCCCAGGAGGTGGAGGTCGTCCAGGAGTCCGGTGCTGGGGACCCCGCGGAGGTCTCCGCATCCAGCGCCTCCGGGAGAACGAGCGAGGCAGGCACGCAGCGGTCGGAGAGTGCCCTCAAAGACGTGCGTCTCCCTGAACCGCCTGAGGAGGGAAAGCTCATACCAGAGCGAGCGCGTTCTGTGAATTAGCCACTGGAGATGCCCTTAAACCTCTCCTTTTTTTAATCTTTTTTTTTGGTTTAGTAAAGGTGCCCCACGGTTAACTTTTACTTCCATCAGATTCCTCCCCTCTCCCCATAATCATCATAGATTATGATATTGTTTTTGAGTTTTAAATCCAGATTATATTTTTCGACTGCTCTTGGTTCCTATACCAAGGGACCATATTTTACATTTTTAAGTTTATCTTATCCTTCGACGACGTTGTGTTTCATCTTTTTTGTCGATAATACATCAAGTTCACACTAAAAACGAAGAGGTAAATATTTTCGATAATCGTTTTGCTCATTATTGCTGCTGTTCCTTTATTTATGCTATTCTGAAAGCAATTCGTGCTTGGGGTTTACTTTATCTCCTTTTAATATTGTCATTTTCTCTTGGGTTTTGGTTGCTCTTCTCAATAACGAAAATAAAGGAAAGGGGTGCAAAATAGAAATAAGAGATAGTGTCCCTGTAAGAATAGATTTTAAAGAAGTGTGTGAGGCGTTGGAATCCATATGCATCGCCCGAACAACAAGCATTCCGCACCAATGAAGCGAGGTGGATCGTCTCAAGGTCGGAAAGGCGAAAACAGAACTGAAAAGGCGAAATCGGCAAGACGGCCGGCGTCAGTGGTTCATATTAAAAAAAATAAGACTAAATATCACGAAAACAAATTTAAACAACAAAGGAAGACTGGAGAAGGTTTCAAGGCTAAGCCAGACAATCATTCACAAACACCACACAAGCGTTCGTTTCGCACCAATGACGTGGATATTCATTTAGCCTCTAGGATTTCTAAGTCTCTGAAGGACGACATCGCACACTTCAAGGCAAAGAATGCCGCTGTAGATGAGTTTGGTGATGACCTCAACGCCGTCTTCAAATTTGTTCCACCAACCTTCATCACCCAGCACATGTCGCCGGAGGTGAGTTCCTTCCGAACATATCTTCCGAAGTTCATGCGCGGTGCTCCGAACAACGTTGTGGCCTTTTTGCGTTGGTATGAATGGAGTAACTATGAATTGACTAAAGGAAAGCACTTCCCCTCCACGGCGTCTTCTGCCGCAAGAGTTCATGGGAGGGGGACACAGGAAGATGGAGAAGCAGAGACTGCGACCGATGAAACGCCGGGTCAGAATTTTGACCCTAAGGGAAAGTTAAGTGCCACAAAGCAGGCTATGACGAAGACACTAAAGGAGCGTGAACATATGCGTGCGCTCTTGCAAATGTGCCTCAGGCACAACGCCGCTCGCCGCAAAGAGGGTCAGCATGCTTTTATTAAACACCTCAGGATGAAACTCCTCGAAGATGCGGTGAGTTGCAATACACTCGATGAGCTTCGCGCTACCGCGAACCACTCCGTTCTCTACGCCCTGTCCCGGCTCTTGTTGGGAATGGTTTCGGAGGACATGGCCAAAATTGTCTTGCACTGTCATGCTCTTTACCTGGTCTTGACGCAGACACCTATCACTCCGCCTGTCGTTCTATCGCTCATGGACGAAGAGTTTGCTATGGTGGATCGGATGAAGGCGGTCCAGTTGCATCTTACTGCTGCGAAGAACCGCAATAGCGCTTCTGGAGCTAATGACGGCGACGATGACCATGACTTGGAGATCGATCCTGACGCAATCAACGACCCGACGAAAGGTGAACGCAATCAGCGTCTTACGGCGGCTGTGTTTGTCTTGGCGGCTATTGTGGCCGCAGGGGCCGGCAGCATGAAGACTGAGTATGCCCGCCGTCTGGTTTCCTTTCTTGCTTTTTGTTATGTGGAGCAGAAGGGCTCTCGTGTGCTCTCGGGTAACTCACTTTTCATGTACATGGATCGGAACACACGGATCTACGAGGATACCGAAGCTATGACGTGGGTTGCATTCGCCTTTTTTCACTATCCTAGGGTAGAGTACCTCCGTCCAGAGGGGGTTCAGTTTTTGCTTCGTATCATGTCTATGGATCCGAAGCCGCCTTTGCACTGCTTCCCGCAGACGATAGAGGAGTTCACCGCCATGGACCCACTCGAGCCCAGTGTGCTGGAGCAACTGGTAAGTGCGCTGTTTCGCAAGGAACAGGTCACCGCAGTTCATCCGATGGTGCACCCGGTCTGGGATGATTTTTTCAAACAGATTTTGCTCCGCATTTCCCAAGGTGAGTCGATGAAGGAGCACTTCAGCACATTTGTGCATACCGCAATCGTGCCCTACCGACGTGGCAACGCCGATATTCCTCGGCGGGCTCTCTTTCAGGTGCTGGTGACGCAACTAGGCCAACTGGCGGTCAAGAACGAGGATGCGGCGCAGCGGGTGGAGCTGCTCCACATGGCGAGCAAGAATGTGGGCTATGGCAAGCGCACCACAGCCAAACCAACCCCTGTGGCAGAACTGAAGACCCTCACCGTTGCTGCTCTGGATGCCAAGATCAACGACCTCCTTAGACAATATCGAATTACCAAAGATAGCGACCCTGCTGCCCGGACGAACCGCACGTGGGTACTCCGTGAGCTGCGTAACAGCCTCAACGTTCCGCTCCGTAGTGGGGTGCGGTCCGAGTATCCAGACAAGGCTGCTAAAGCGATGCTTGAGATGGGTTTCTTCCCACCCCGACAGTCGAAGGACTCAGCAAGCCAAAATCGATGCATCTATCTCTTCGCTGAAGCCTTTTCCTTCACCTCGAACCGCCCGCTAGCTCGACCGAAATGCACTATGGATGGTTTATCGGTGATAAGTACCTACCTCACTGCGGAAGAAAGGGGTCAGTGCCGCTATACAACCGCACTGCAGCATTCCAGTTTTCGTAAGGCCCGCAACCGAATTGTTGAGGCGTTGGAGAAACCCGCTGAACGAAGCGTTTTGTTCTACAATATCCGCGATATAGAGGTCCTGATGGTTTTTCTCTTTCTAATTTTGAGCGTCGACGATGCCTCTAACCCTGCAGCTACTGGGATCGCCACAAGTCTTGTGCCGGATCTGGTACAATTCTATTACAAAGGCACATTGGAGACCTTGGACATATTTTTTGATATCCTAATGAGCCTTGCGTTGCGTGAGAGTTCTCCGCTACATGTAATGCCACTCATGACATGCGTTCGACGAATCTCAATGAGATTTATGCTTAAGTTTGCCCCCTTCATTCGCACGAAGGTTACCACAGATATACTGGTGGCTGCCCTGCGTGAGGCCTATCACACCGATAGCCGAGAGCTGGCACGACAGCAGCGACAGAGGAATGCTGAAGACGCTGATGAACAAGAGGATATTCTTAGCGCTGAAGACAGCGAAGATGACACCGACAACGACAACGACGCCGAAGAGAATGTATCGGACAGTAGTAGTAGTAGTGCCAGCAGCGATGCCTCTGAGGCAACAAGCAAAGAAGACGACGCAGATGCGAAATCAGCCTCAACGGAGCTGAGTGACGGTGATGACGATACTGAGGTTGAAGATGACGATGGAGAGAGCTGCGAGTCTATTCAAGAAGGAAGTAATAGAGATAGCAACGAAGACGAAGAATCCTCCTCCACTGCCACGGAGCAGAGCAGCGACTATGATAGCAGTGACGACAGATCCATGAGCGCAGATGAGGCTCCCACGCAACAGTTCGTGGACGCCCTGAAGGGTATGATTGGTAACGCTGATCTTGACCACTTGTATGCCACAGATACCGCCAAGAAGGATAAGAGCGATGTTGCGTGGATGCTGCACCTGGTGAGCCGTGTTGGATCTTCGATGCGGTCACCCCTTGTAGTCCACATCTACCAGGTTCTTTTGGCGGTCTGTCGTGAAACGGTCAAGTCACCGGATGACCTTATCTTTAATAAGGCCGTTTCTTCTCTAGAGGCGTTACTACTCTCCCAAAATCGATATTTTGGGCACTTTCTCCCCGCGCAGGACCTCTTCCAGCTCCTCGGCGATATCCAGAGTTACTGCAGGAAGCTTGAGAGTAGCCTCATACGTGGTAGTAAGGAGTTTGCCACTGCAAAGAGCGCTTCGATCGTGCCGCGCCGGATGAAGGTGCTAAAGGCACTAGCCCTGCGTGTGTTCCACTTTTTGAGCTTCCTGGCTTACAAAAACTATGCCGACGAAGAGGTTCGCATCACGCTTTCAGAGTACTACAAGTCCATCTTTTGTGACCGTGGCTGGGATATGAAGCAAGTGCTACCGGGGCTTAAAAAGGACCTCTATAGCTATCGCCATGGCTTTGTTTGGGCCCTCTTACCGGCCGTCTTTGAAAAGTTTGACGAAGTGGTTGCACTCAACGCTCCGCAGCGTGCACGTATACTTACCGGCTGCTGTACTATCATCGAATCGCTCCTTAGCCGCATCACAGGGCTCCCTGGAGAGCTGAAAGAGAGTGCAAGTATCGCCATCTGCAAATTTATCCAGTCCATCTCACTGTCGCAAGTTTACGAAATGAAGTACACCCTACCTTATACATACCTGCACACCATAAAGATGATCTTGAAGTATAATAGCCGTATTCATCTCGATCCAAGCTGGGTGGCCACAAACGTCGTAAAGAAGGCGGTTGAGGATGAGAGCCTTCAGTTCTCGAGCACATCGCTGCGCGTTCTGTCGTCTATTGAGCATCTGCTCGGCCTCACGCCACGGGCACTCGAAACTGTCACCCCTACACCTGTCAAAGTTCTTTATCAGCAGTTCAGTAAGACTGGTGCCGATAAAAAGAAGGCGCGTTACTCCAGGAACAAGCGGGCACGCATCAAGGTGATGAAAGCACTTTTAGCCTTCCGCAACAAGGACATGACCGATGAGGAGCGCGCCCTCAAGCGACGCCGCCGCGAGGAGCGGAAGGTCGAGGCTCGTCTCGAGCGCCAACTCATGCGCGAAAATCGTAATGTTTTGCTCACAAAGGAAGAGCGTGAAGAGAGGCGAAAACAATTCATGATCGCTAAGCAGGAGCGTATCAAGCGGAATCGAGAACGTAGAATGCGCATACATAAAGCACGCCAGGCGTCTTTTGAGAAGTGGCGTGAGGCGAAGTTGGCCGCCGCGGCTACTCGTGCTTCTATGGATCACGACTCAAATGAGGAATAAAAAAAGGAAATATTTTCTTTTGCGATCTAGGTGGATCGTATTTTAAAATATTTCTTTACGATTAACAGACGGAGTGTGGGGTCACAATTTGGCCATTTTTAGTGCCTACTACTCCTGAAATAGATAATTTAAAATCTCAGTTCGTAATTATATTAATTCTAAAATTTGAGACTTAAAGGTAAAGGAATAAGCAGCAAAAAAATTATACACTTAATGTGTCCCATCGAAGGAGCATAAGTATATGAATGCGCAGGACCCACATTTGTTTTGTGGGATTATTTATTTTCTAGTGTACTCGACATCCTCACGGTCTCTTTCGCTTAGCTCTCTTTTTCCCAGCTTAATCATTTGATACAACTTGCATTTTTATTTTGTTTTCTTGCTTTTTATCTTGCTATTATATAGTCGTCTTTTCCTTGTTAAATAATTTTCTCTAGTTCTCCTTTATATACGTCATTTTTCTTTGCTCGCATCCGCACATTATTTATTCCTGTTGAAGCTTATCACGTTCCCTTAGTGTGTTGATTATACATAAGCTTGTACTATTTTGAAAAGGAGTGAAACCAATAACAACTAACTAATCCCCCCAAAATCGAATTCTAATTCCCACTGGTAAAGCGAGCGCTAACTCTGAAATAATGACGTTTTCTGAAAATGTAAATTCTAAGACCACAGAAGCCTTTGAAAGGGTACGCGAGCAGGTCGATACTTATGCTCAAAAAGGCAAGAATTCCTTTGAAGAAGTAAAAGGCAAAGCAGCAGACCTGCAACATAACATTCAAGAAGCTGTGGAGCGGGCCAAGAATACAGCAGATCCGTATGTTAAAAGCACTCGTCAAATGGCCGAACATATCGTGGAGTCTGGAAAGGAGGGTGCGCATGTGGTTGCTTCAACCATCCATAGGGGTGTTAACCACGCAAGTCAGATGTGCATCTCCAAAAATCGAACTTTCCGCGTTATCAGTGAGTTAATCGCCATGTATGTGTTCGTATGGTGGTACCTTCTTAACCTTTTCCCCTTTACAAGCCATCTTCTCAAACAGGCTTACACCATTGCTGAGTCTCTTAAGATCATTTCTCTAATGGGGAAGCTTGCTTCTTTGTTCCTAAGCGCTGTGGATCGCATTCCCATTGTCGGTCCTCGTTTATATGTGATTATTACATCATTGTCAAAGGAAACATACCAGAATATCAATCGCCTCATCATTCAAAGCGCAATCAGATGCAAGCATGAATAGATTTTGAAAATAACATTTTGTCTTCACTTATATACCCACATGTATGCCTATGCATGTATAAATACATATATGCTCTTGCATTTTTTTTTTGATGGCTTCGTTTGACTACTAGGCATAAAAGGATTTGCATTTCCGTGAATATTGATTTTGCAGAAGTGTGCTTTTACCGCATGGAGTGATACTTCCCACATTTCCATTGCAAGTTTTGAAATCTTTATAAACCCTTTGTTAATTGGAACTTTAAATGTTCTTTGATGTATTAATCTCATCAATTATTTATCTTAGGGGCGAACGCGGGAAATATGATATACCATTTATGGGATCAGGAAAAAGCAAGTGAAAGTTTTATCTGTTAAAAAGCTTTATTCTAGTGAAAATATAAAGCATACATAGTGCTATAACTTCAGATTATGCTCTATTGATTCCAGAGTTCTATTTTTGTTTATTCGTCAATTATTTTTATGGGACTCTATCGATGACTGAGACACCCAATTCCTTGTCTGAGGCTTCTAACATTTTTATTTGTTGTTTCTTTTAAATATAACAAGTTCAGTAAATGCTTGAAGGGATATAGTTGATTTAAAAAACAGATCGGATAGTGCAAAGTTAGCATATAATACAAGTAGTACTATGGTTTCAAACAATGTAGGTTATGCTGAGAGAAAATTGTGCAATAAGTGACATATTGGAAAAAATACATTGATCTTTACCAAATGATTTTAGAATGGAAAATATGTTAGTTGCACGGAAATGCATTATTTTGTCTATATACAAGTCGAAGTATTTTCATGGTGAGATAGTATATCTTTTTAAAATATTCTTCTTTATGCAAAACCTATTGATTATTATTTATTTTTTTTCATTAGTAGGTCTTTTTTTTGAGGCACACCTCCTTGTACGTGTGGAGCTTTGCGTCTCTTTTCTGTTTAGAACTATGGAGAAAAAAGTAATTACTAAATATAAATGGCTCTTCGCATTAAATCAACTCCTTTTCTTATGCGTTTTCAAAAGTACCTTCCCATTTTACCTTAGTTTTTTCCATTTTGAAATCATTTATTTGCTCTAAGATACGTAGCTCATATATACCCACCCATACTCGACTATTGGAATTTACATCCTAAAACAATTCTCTTTTTTTGATTTATAGAATTTCTTATTTTTGATATACAGTTAAAACATGGAGGCACATAACCAGTCCCAGAAGGAGCATAAATCCTCTATTTCGTCTGTGTCAGGTTACTACAGCTACTCTTACACTGGAGATTACTACTCAGGTAGTCAAAATGATAGCTACAGCGATGCCTCATATTCATATTCGTATTCTTACTCGCCACATGAAAGCAATGATAAAAACCAAAAGGGGGTGAATTCTACCTCGTTATCATCTGGATTGGAATATTCATACAGTGTGAGCGAACCCAAACAGGATTTGAAGAGAATCCCCAAGCCTACGACGTATAACTACACCGAAGAATCCACAACAGACGACGAATACAGTTACTCTTCTCCGCAGCAATCAGTTCACAAATGGGCTGAAAGTCCTTCCCAACAGAAAAAAGAAGTCCCTTCTGTCCGGAAGGAGGATAATGAAACGCAATCCTATAGTTACAGCTATGACTACGATTATTCCTACTCCTACTCGGACTACACTCCTTCGCTAACGGGGAAGGAAAGTAGCACTCGCCGAAATGGTGTTGATCATGTCGGCGCAGAAACCTCAGAATCGGGAAGCAGTGGCTCCATCAGAATTGCAACGAGTCGCCTTGGGTCTTCTATTAAGAAGAATCTCAGGCCCACATTGAGTGGCGGTAGCAGCGCCACGGAATCGACGTCCTACCCCTACTCGTACTCCGTAGATAGTCTTACCCCTACACGTGGTGACGCAGCCGACGTTAACGTTGATAAGGGGTATAGCAGCTATTCTTCTTCGTCTGCTGGCAAATCAACTCCCCTTTATTCGTATACCTACGATAGTAGCGCCACACAGTCCCATTCTTATTCCTACTCTTATACCGCATCCACTGAGCTTTCCGAACGCGGGGGGCAAACCCATGCCCAGAGCGATGATTATTCATATTCTGTTACCACCCCGTACCCGGCTCATACGAAAAAGGTCTCTTCTGGTAGTTCCTACACATACGCGGATAGCTACAGTGGTACGGACAATGGAGCTTCCTCGCAAACATCCTCAGCGTCGATTCTTCTTGATTCCAAGACCGAATACTCAACTACCACCACCACTTACGAGGTCACGAGCGAGCGAGATAGCTCCACTTCTGGCGCCAGCCAGACGGAGCGGTTTACTCAGCGAAAACTAATAATTCTACGTACCCCCAAGGAGACGATTTCAGATATCCCGCCACCGCCTTCGCGCTGCTTTGTGGATCCATGCTCACAGGAGGATAGTGCCCACAAACTCCTGAGATGTATTGTAGAGTTTCAGCAGATGGAAGAGCCCCGTGTGTACACCGAGGTGTCACCACCAGGCACAGCATCTCTCGCGTCTGGTCAGCAAACTAGTGGTGGCGTGGCAACCCCTTCTACAGGACCCCTTGCCATGCCTGACCAAGCGAGGAAAGCGAAAAACTCCAAGAAGGATAGGAAAAGTATGTTGGGTTCAAAAAAGGAAACCGACGTCGGGCAGACCCCGTCCGAGCGCCCGGTGCCGTTGCCGACCCCCAAGGGTTACTGTACTGAGAAAACGGCGCGTGTTGCCCTCAGCGTCCTCCGCCTGAACCACCTCGAACGCCGCGAAGTCCTGCGTGACGTATCCATGCCTGTGAAGGAGGGGACGTTGCGGGATATTCTTGACACCTGCGCCGCAACACGTGTGAAGGAGACGGTCGCCCAAACTTTCCTCGCGCGCGACCCCAGCCACTCTGGCGAGCTCCCGATTTCTGTGGTTGGAGATGTGCTACACCGCTTGGGCGTGGCGCGCAGCCCTGTCATTGACAGGGCCTTCCGAATCAACATCCGCCCCATCGGGACGACGGGGCCGCAGGAGCTGTTTTTAACCATCGAGACGCCACCACCCGGTGACTACGCAGCCGATGTGGGGCGATGGCAAACCAAGACCATTCCGGTTTGTGATATCGTGCGCAGTAGCTTGACGGCAAAGCGGCCCATGTCGATTCGCTTGGAATCAGGGAGCATCTATATGGGTCAATTTCACATCTGCCACGGGGTGCCCTCCAAGGCGTGTTTTGAGCGTTTAAAGACGTATCTTGAGGCGGCCACATACGCCTGCGTGTTGGTCCATTTCTTCAGCTACGAGGATGACATCACGCGCGAGGTGAAGGTGCAATACCCGAAACTGGTCCGTAGCCTGTTGGCCTCAAGCGAAATGAAGGGGAAGAAGTCTATTTTCTTGGATAACCTTTTCCGGGAGCTTTACGATATTGACCAGCAAGTGGTAGATTTTGCGAGTGGCCGCGGGATTCTGACTCAGTATGCAGGAAAGAATTTGGTTGAATCTACTCTGTACGGAACACAAGATGTGGTGGAGAAGAGGAGGCGCAACGTAATCCCGAACACATCCGAAGACCAGCTGGGATTCCAAACCACACCGAAAGGAACAGATGAGGAGGTAAGGTTGTCTTTTTCTGTTCGAAAAGTTCGTATCTCTAACGCCCTGCCGGACGATACACGCTGCTATTGCCTCATCAGTGCGATCACATACGATGACGTTTTCTTGCCTGCGGTCGAAGTCCCTGTGCGGAAAGTGTGTGCATCAACCAAGGGGGGTTTCACCTGGGCTTTTGACAAGGATGAAAAGAGCGAAATCTTGTTTGTGGGCCCCCGTACCGATCGCATCTATATTGAATGCTGCTACGAAGTTAAGCAAAAGCAACTTGGGGACGGGCTACCAGCCAAGGGGGATTCTACGGTGTGGTGCGCCGGCTACACCATCCTGCCGGTAGCATATTTACGCGAAACGGCCACATGGCCGGTCGTGGAGGGCAGCCTGCTGGACACGACAAAGGAAGGAAATACGCCAACACCCGTTGTAGGGAACATCGCCACCGTGCCACCCCCGAGGCGGACAGGCTTGTTTGCATGTCTCGGACTAGGAGGAAGGGGAGGCTCTAGGAAGGTGTTAGCCACCCAGCCTGCGGTGGAAATAAAGGTGAAAGTTTTGAAACAGGAGCCAAAGGCATCGGCTCTGCCATTACCGTTTGAGGACATGCCAGCACGGTATATCATCTTTAGGCGTCATGCCAAATTGATTAGCCTCCTGCGCTCTGCCATTCACCATATAGGCAAGTTGTGTCGTCATGCGTCGCAGGTGCTTCGCCAGCAGATCTCTCAGCGCATCTTCTTGGTTGCATCCAGCGTCACCCTAATGGATCAGTTTATCCACCTTTGGAATCATCAGCTGAAACATATGGATGTAGCGAAGAAGAAGGACACGATGCATCATCACGAGCTGCTCTTATTATGTGTTACAACCTTGGCCGCATTGCACAATTGCTCCTCTGAAGATCAAGGGTCCTTTGCTGCGTTGGCGATACACCGCAAACCTCTAACACATGCCTTTGATGCCAATGCGCCGCAATGCCCTATTTCAGTGTAGTTGCACTTCACTTATTTTCTACTCCTCGCACTAGGCGATATTTTTTTTTCCTCTCACATTATAGAGTCACTGAGAAGCTATGGACGGCAAAACTAGATATAGATCATATTTCCTTTCTTTTGCTTGTTTGAAAGGGGGATTTCCTCCTACATTTAGCTTTTTATTTTTGTCTGTATCAGTCAAATAAGAAATTTTATGCACCATTACCATTGCATATGGATCAAATCACGAACTAAAAAGTTCTTATGAAGCCTTACCAACGATCATAATGGTAAGCTATGTGTTTTTAGACGTGAATAAGTACGTATTATGCTTTAGCAACCGTTTACTTGCACCCAATTCCCATGGGATGTTTTTCACTTATTATCTTCCATGTTCATTCCTCTACACACCTAATTGTTTGCATTTTTGGACGGGTGCAATTCAACTTATTAACTTCATAATTTTAGTGATTATTCATTTTACTATCATTATTGATATTGCATTAGAGAAGACCCAAAGTCAAACCTTGGCGTTATTAGTTCACTTGGGTGAATCCCTCCTTTGGATCAACAAAAAGATTGAAAGAACCTATTTTCCCAATCCTCTGCTTAATATCCCAAAACTAGTAAAACAAGACCTTACCGCGATTTATCCTTGCCGGTGTGAAACGAACATTGCATTCACGAAGAATTTCGAATAGGGATAATTAGCTCTCCAGTTATCATATTTGATACACATGGCTTCCTGGTCACAGTGCACACGAAGCGCTCCTGTTGAGGGGTACAGTGAGAATAAAAATGTTTTTGGTGTTCGACTCCTGCGCCCGCCACGTTGCTGTTCAAGTGTCTGCTCAGAGAGCGCAACAAAAAATGTGCGATCATATATCTACGCCATTGATCGTCTGAGCACGAAGCTTCGCATTCCGCTCTCGGCGACGGAGCCGACACAGGCCCTGCAAGACGACGGCTTGGTGCCGGGATTGTGCCGTCTCTACCTGGAGGGCCGCTGCCGGCAAGGGGACTTATGCCACCAGGTTCACGCGAATCCCAACGTGGTGGAGACAATTAGGCAGGAGGCCTTACACGCACCCTCCTGTTGCCATATGCACGGTGCAAGATGCAACTTCGAGTCCTTTCCTCTGGGTCTAACCTTCACCTTGGTGGATGTCCTTAAGGATATTCCTAAAGGTCTAAATTCATCGATGTCTAAAGGTAATAAAGCTCAAAGTGATAAAACTAACAAGGCTGAGGCTGACATCAGTGAGATGGAAAAAAGCCCTAATGGCGTGGAGCAGAAATCTGTGCAGCAGCCTTCGAATAACACTGTTATCTCGATTCATTCGCTCTGCCCGACCACTTACCTATGGACCTTGTATTCTAATAACATCAGCAGCCACATCTACTTGCCGAAGAACAAGATCTGTCGAGAGCATCGCAAGGGGCTCTGCCGCTTTGGTGACGAGTGCAACTTCCTGCACGTGTGTCGTGAAATACCCATCGATTCATCTGTCGGATCCGATGGAGTCGCTGCTTTGCATAGTCCATCCAACTCTTCAATGTTACTTCACCTTGACAGGTCCAGTGGAAATCTTCAGCCTGATGGTCTTGATGCGTCGTGTAAGTGGCATCATTCACGTCAGATCGGGCTTGCAGAAAGTTTAAACCAGGAAGGTTCACTGATAGGCTCTTTTGCGAGCTTCAACGAGAACGAAGGCCGTCAGTTAACACCAGAGCATGTTTCTTTATACAATGGTATGCATACTTCACAGAGCTTAAACGGAAGATCCGAGCCTCTCTTGCGCCCATCAAGTCTGAGAAGAGCTTCAACTAATTTGACAAAATCTTCTGTCTCGCATAACCCATATTCGTTTTCTCTTCGATGAAGGTGATGCATGTGTAGTGCTAATGCTTTTTGCATTTTTTTCTTTTGTTTATGATTTTTTCATCTTTTAATAGGAATCATTATAGATATTCTCAGGGGAAAAGTGAAATTTCAGTCAACTATTTTTAGTTGCATTCCTCTCTTGCTTCACTGTCTAATTTGAGCCTTCTCCCCTGTCAAGGCTAAATTTTCATTTTTTCCATCAGAAATAGTGAGTAAAATTGATGGTTTTATTTGTGATAAAAGGGGAAAAGTATAAATTAATTTCGTAGCTCAAATCAATGAATAGGGGAAAGTCATGACGAAAAACTAGTTTTTAAAGGTATATATATATATATGTATATATATATGTGAATTTAATTTGTGGTTCCTAGTCGAACTCAAATGCATCAAGACTCAGAGAAAAACATCAAATAAGAAAGCGTAGAACAAACACAAATAGGTTTATATTATTTTAATAAATTTTCATCAAATATGAACGTAAATTAAAACGTGATATGATGGGCTAATAAAAGGTTGTATTAGATTTATTTTTGTTCTGTATTAATTCGAAGGATATCCCTGGATAAAATTGGACTTAATCTTGAAAATATATCCCTTTCTTTCCTTTTCCATTACCTTTGTTGATATCAAACTCACATCTTTGCTATTTAAATAACTTATTTTATCATTTAATGTGTTCAGATCATGATATATTTATCGAAAACACAATGCCTCCCTTCATTTTGCTGTATACTTTTTAAAAAAATGTTATCTTCTTTCATTAGTGATTTTTCTGAGGATTCTGCATTGTATTATTGCTGTTTCCTCAGTATCTGTGCATCTATCCACAATACAGACGTTCATATCATTCTCTCGAGTATGTGATTCGTTTAGTGATTTCATTACTCTTTACAGATTGGACATTTGGTTATTCCTAATTATCCTACAATTATTACTTTTTTTCCTCAATTCCATACCATTAGAACGCCTTAATTCATAACTTTCCTAGATGGATCTTCTTTCATGAGCATAAGATATGATATTGTGTGCATATTTCTGACTGTAACCTTACTTTCAAAGGAACTAACGATTATCCCAAGATATTGCAAAACTAAAGGACGGAAAACAACATCTCATTTTATAAGGCAATCATAAGGATGATAAGAAATTATTTACTCATACAATGGGTCTATATTTATTACCTTATACTTGCTAAGCGTATCCCAACATTATTTGTTCTTTTGAATCATCAGTGCTACATCGTTTAAGAACTTTCATCTGTTTGATTTGTCAGTTTGATGAGCTTCGTATGATATTCGGCAGATGAAGAAAAGCATTCTTAAAAGTTACCAATGAAAGAAGTATTCCAAAAGGAAAACTTTATTTTTTTGTGAAACTAGTTTCAGCAGGAAATTTTTTTCGAAATGTTCGGGATTAAATCCGATTCTGATAAGCCTTCGATTATGGAAAAAAAAGATCTAAACATGCGGATATCTTGTTTATTATTTTATCAAAAAAATGTTGTCTATTTTTAGAAGTTTCATTGTAAATTGAAGCTCGCTTTAGTTACAAGGATCAATTAGGAATGATTATTATTGTAACTACTTTTAGTCACGCTCTTTATATAGTATATAGCAATTAAATAGTAGATATATTCTTAGATTATTTACTATGTCATTAATGGTGCATCCAATCTCGTTATTATTATGCTGCTTACTCATTATAGTTTTTGATTTTCTCTCTTGGATTCCTTGTGCCCTTGTGCGTTCCTATATCTGTGGTTAGATACGCCCTATGCACATATCATTTGCCGTTTACCTCTTTTGGTAGACATCTTCTCATGTCTAACGCAATTCAACTGCCTTAGTGTCAGCCGTTTTCTTTCGCTTAATTAGTAGCCTTTATATAGTTTAAGCCATTGGAGTTATGTAAGGATGGAATCGATTTTCCTAACCCCAGACTTTGATAGGTGTAAAAACTATCGGCTTTTCAAGATAGATGCCGCATGGCTAAAGAACTTGAAAGTCGATGGTAACATTGTTTCCTCTGTGTGTGCACGGACTAGGAGTAAACGCCAACGTTCTCCCGAGCCGGATGCGGGGGAACCACGGATGTTCTTATGGGCCAAAGGTGGTCACTCTCTCATAGCTTGTGACGCGGCACAAACACTGATGGTACGGCGGGTTGAGTACTCCAACTCTATTTTGGTTGCAAGGCGCCGACATTATCCTAAGAAAACAACGGTAGTAACTTCATCAGATGAACCAAAGGCTGAATCTACGCCGTTGAAAAGCAATGCGAGCATCATCGTAGCTTCACTTTCGCGCATTTTCGAGACACACCCGATAAGGCCACACCATTGCACACACACACTTCTCGCGAATTCATCACTGACATTAGAAGAAATGGAGATAGGTACATGCGAATCGATTGATCGAGAAATTCTGAACGATGAAAGGACTCCTAGTGGGAGGAGTCCCTGTACGTATCTAACATTTATCGACCTTGTGCGAGCTAATGATTGCAGCCCCAAAGAGCTGGCTGCTGTCCTTGGAGCGATGGGTGCAGTTGTCCACCGTGGCTACGTGCGGTTGCTAGATCGCAAAATTTTAGACGAGGCACTAGAGGCTATTTTGACATACGTTGATGCGGAGGATGAGGCCCTCACATGGGATCAGTTGGCGGACTACTTTGCCTCCGTGTATCCCCGTATTGTGTTACAGGTCGTGCGTGCTGTGTACGGCGCATCCACCGCGACGGTTGAAAGCGATGGAATTAGTGACGTGGCTGAAGGGGGGCTGCCGCTGCACGAGAAGTGGTCTTCGTTCAGCCTTCCGAAGGTTCTGTTAGGTCTGGCAGGCGGTGTCTTTGAAACTGACCCGTCGGCGTCACCAGAGGAGGTGGAACCAGGAGTGTTGGCGATCCGGATGACCTTTGATTCGTTCTGGGATGCTTGGAAGCGTCGCATCCCTGTCGCGTGGCCGGGATACGGTGGGCTGCCTTCATGGGGTGAGGATCCCCAAAAAGCCCTCGCGTTGCTACGGGGTCATGTTGTATGTTACCAAAGTTCTCCGACGAGCTATCGCGACGCAAAGGTTTGGTGGTTGCCGGAGTATCTTCTTCCGCAGAGCATCAAGGCGCGCGTTGATCTACTCTTTAGGCTGTCACCTCAGAAGTGGGACGCGGAGTCTATGCGAGCCTTTATCGAGCCCTTACTTGGTGAGGGTCAATCCTTCACGAATATAATAGTTCGTTATGCGAGGGAGTATCGAATACCAGGTGAGCCACTTATGTACTTCCATCTGACCACGTAAATTGTTATGCATACTCCAATTTCATTGTCCATATTGAATGTACTTTTACTTACTCAGGTCACTAGAGCTAAAGTGCTTTTTTTTTTTTGGATGATGGAGGTGAAGTCAATACCGTCCTTTCTTCTGTCCCTTTCAATTATGTGATTGTGCATTAACTAGTAAACTCAAAAGAACATAGTAGTGATACTTTTCGTGAATCATTCGCACATAAACTTGTTACCATTAAAAAGAAGATATAAGTATATTTATACCCATATATATACTTATATATTAAGTCATTCTAGTAGTTTCAGTCTAGATAATGACATACAGTAAATATTGCGCTAATCGAGATGAGGTAACTATCCGAGTTCGATCCTGGCGCGGTGAGACTATTGACCTTTCAGTCCCCAAAACTTGCACTGTTGGGGAATTACTCGACTTTCTTACTAATGAGTACCGTTATAGTGATAAAACATGCCTTATGTACAACAATGTTCCTGTCAATGTCAATGACTATGTGTCAGACTACCCTTACGATAGTCTGATGATTGCGGAACCCAAACACAATTCAGTTCCACAGACTCAGGGCTACAGAACTCAACAAGCTCAGAGCTTTGTTCCTTCAAATGGACATGATCATAGCAAAGTTCATGGTAGGGGCCAATATCACCAGCAATCACCACCGCAACGGGTAGAACCACAACCTTTACCAGCAAAGCAGCCGGAGGAAAAACTAGAGAAAGTGCCGAACCAAGCTAAGAGTCCTTTTCATGTGGCACCTACGCATAGTCGAAGGCAGGTCAACACATACCCCAAATTGAATACCTCGGATTGTGACAGGAAACAAACTCCTCCGACGTCGAGGGCGAACTCGCGCGCGTTATTCTCGCCGGACGGAGAGTCATCCAGAGCGCCGGTAGGGTTGTCGTCGCTAGCCCCTAAATCCAGCATCTCTAAGAAGGCCAGCGGTGAGCCAGAGAGCGGTGTGGCGCAGTATCCTACAAAACTTCCAAGAAAAAACGAGAACTTTTCCGAACGGGCCAGCTCAGCTCACGGGAGTACGCATGCGAAGGCCTTCGTCTGCTCAACGGCAAAGGATAGCCCCGGTTCGTTGTGTGGCGCGGAGATCACGTCGGCGTCCGGTGTTGATAATAGTGGGGTTCTCGGCCCCAGCGAGGGACGGCCGACGCCGCGGCAGCCAGCTCGACTGATGATTCACTGCTGCGTCCCGGCGCAGCGCCGCACTGTGAATGTGGAGCTCAGCAGCGACGCATCTATGGCGGATCTCATGTTGAGTATCGTAGCCGAGGTGCCCGAGGCGGTAACCGGCAAATTGGTGTTTCGCGGCAAAGTTCTGCCACAGACGCCAGAAAGTAGCCTCTTTAATGTCGGGATTCGCGGCGAATGCATGGTATTCGTAGCATCCGGCGAATACAGCAATTTAGACCTCATCTTCCTTGAGGAAATTGAAATGGATGTCGACAGGATCGAAAAGGATATAGAGAACTCGACTACAGATTTGCAGAAGAAGGGATACTATGAGGAGCTTATGCGTATTTTGTTTCGCGTGGATGGTTTGCAAAACTTGGAAGAACAGTGGAAGCAAAAGCGGAAAGACATGGTCAAGCGCATCACCTACCTCCAAGACAAGCTTAATGTGGATAGCAAGGGGTCAGTCGTGGGAGCGAACACCAATATAGAATGCGGAACGTCCGCGTTTAGCTACGCTGAGGGAGCAAAAACAAGCTGATGATAGCAATCGTGACCTCCGAGCGACAGGTGAAAAAAAGATGAGTGGGTTGTTCAATTTGATATCAGAAGAGGGAAGAGGGGGAAAGTGGGAATCGGATCTCTGGATGCGTATTTTCTTATAGGATAATTCCCCATATTTTTATCTTTTACATATGGATTCCCCCAAAAGGGAGATATAACATTGTACGTATGCCTTTCGGTGAATCTAAGGCTTTAAAATAAGTATTCGCTTAAATCTTTTCGACTTACAAGCAGAGTTAGCTTATATTATTTCTGATACTGCGTACTCTGTGTTTCTTTTTCTTGTGAGTTAGGATTGGTGTTTTTTTTCGTGGTACTTGTAAATGAGTCAGTTTGCTTCCTTATGCTTAATAAATGGAGAGAGGACATGGATCCAAAGCCATTCCAGTGAATTCGTCTTGACCTTCCAGTAGGTATCCATTTAGTGTTGTTGTTCTTGCGTCAATCTAACAGTTTTTATATGTGAAGACTTCAATTTGCTACGGGTATATATAGATATATGTATGTATGTATGCGCCTTTTTTTTCAAAAAAAATAGGCTTTCTGTAGAAGTTTCACCTACTATTGTTATCCATCTGATTAATTTATCTATGTGGATTATTTGGAATGCCTCTTAGCATGTAATGAAATCATTTAATTGTTAGGGGCGAGAATAAAATGGGATAAACATATGTTGATATGACGACAAGGAAAAACAGGGTAAAGATAGTGATGGGTTTCCTGTTGTATCACATGTTATCTGCGAACCTCCTTTTATTTTTCCTTTACACTTGTTTCTTTTTATAACTAAAGAAGTCAATTTTAGGTAAAATAAATCCAAAATTGTGGTTTACTAATTTAAAACTAAACGAACATCTTCAAAGAATCATTGTTTAGTATTAAAAAAAGTTGACTATAGGCTCAACAACTAAGCAATAATTCGAGAAGATAGGATCATGTCGTTTCCCTCACGTTCCAAGAAAATGCGTACAAAAAAATGGGAAATCATTGAACTTCCTGCGATTGATATGCTAGAATTCTTTTCAGAAGAGGAATTATCTGGCATGTCGCTCCCGGCGGGATTTTGCATCCGATTTTTTCGTCATGACATGCATTTTTTGTACACGGTAGCTTCGAATTATGTTAAGCTGACTCGCGGTGTGTTAGACTACCTCCAAGATTACAATCAATTGGGTCCTAACAAAAGCCGAAATAAGCTTTTTATTTGTATTCAATATGACCGAAACAGGGAATGTCTTAATGGACCTCTTTGTCGTGAGGTTCATTGCACCATCCCACTTGAAACGGTGGAGGATGCCGCCTTGTACAACGTTCCAAGCAATGCAACGGGTGCCCCAAGTATCGTCAAGGTTCTCCCAGGGTGGGAAATACGTGAAAAAAAGCTCAACAGGGCACTTACCACACAGACAGGTGACAGTGCCAGTGGGGCCCCAGGGCCTGGGACGGCCTTGGATGAACCAGAAACTACCCCCTTGGATACCTTGGCCGCTTCAGGTAGTCTAGTGGATGTTAATGGATCCACTGATAGCGTTATTTACCTACCTTCGAGCACCATACTACGACACTCCTTACATTCTCGTTGGACCTCAAAGAAGATGTATAGGACCTTCGACAGTGGTGTGCTTTTTAAGGTAGCGTTACCGAACACTCCAACTCCTGTTGATACATACGACAGTGGCGAGCTGTTTATTACCAAAGGGGCGTTGGAATACTACGAGCAATGTGTTCGCAAGGAGACAACAACAGTTACTATGCAGCACTGCGCTCATTACTCTAAAAACGGTATCTGTTGCTTTGGTGAGGATTGTCAGTTTGTGCATGTGCTGCATTACAACCCACGAGAGCGAGTCGAAAACGGCGACAGCTTGAATTCGGATGTAGACCAGGGCTCGACAGCCTCTAGTGAGAGGAAAACGTCAAGAGGGAAAAAGTTTACTAACTCGAAGGTAGCACCTTTAACTGTGAATCAAATCAACAAGTGCTTTCAAAATGTGGATACATTGTCGTCTTCACATCCGTCCAGCTCTACTCAGAGCACTTCCAGTCTTTCAAGGGGATCAAGGGCGGCCCCACAGGCGGCGTCTCAGCCAGTCAACAATCTTGTCTTCGTACCGCCGTCAATGATGTGGGTCCCGCTTGAGACAACCTCAAACTCCTTGTTTTCAAACCAGCAGGGACCTTTAATAGTACCTCCTCCGATGTTGTCTACCCCAACACCACCACTTTCGAACAACATGTACATGATGACGTCGGGCCCTAACGGGGAAGCATATATTGTACAACAGAACCCACCGGTGGTCCCGGGACCTCCGCAACATATGGGAACAGGTGGGAATCTACCCCAGGGTTCACAGCAGCAGCAGCAAATGTACATGGTCCCTATGCGGTATTCATAGTAGGTTAGGTGGTGTGTGGAGAAATTGTGTTGAAACTTTCATTTCTAGCAATTCTTTGGATTTTTTCTTTATCTACTCGTCTCTTTGAGGGTGACAACTTAAAACTCCCCTTCGACGGCTGCACCACTACAACCCGTTAAACATATTAAGGAGATAGCCCCTTAGATTGCAATTCATTTTCATTTCGGGTTCGTTTTACTGAAATTTGTGTATTGGTGTTTCTCTATTTCGATCTATTTTATTTCATTTTATTTCATCTTATTTCATTCTTTGTGGTTATCTTGCTAGAATGGCACTGCTCCTTGGTATTAAATTTTCATTATAATAACTTCTGTGGCGCATTTTTATCTTTCTGTTATTATTGCTTAATTTTTATGTGCTATTTCTCTTTGGTTTCGTTACAAGTGTATTCCATTGATATATACAGATATACAAGCATACATACATACATGCGTACATGTATACATATATATATATGTATGTATGTATGTATATATATATATATTATCTAATATAATTTAAATCCCACATAAGGAGATTGAAAAATTAGCATCTGTTTTTGTTCACACAAACCGAAGCATAAGATCCCCCCTTTTTTTCTTGTAAAGTAATCCTTTCCTTTCTCTTATTCATTTATGGTTTGAGAGGACAGATATGGATTCTTCAGGGTTATACAGATACGGCGTTATTTTAACCTTATTTATATTTTTCATCTGAAAGTTCTGCATGGAGAAAATTAAGTTCCATGCTTTACTTAATTAAAATTAATACATATACAACTGTATATATATATATATATATATATATATATATATATATATATATATATATATATATATATATATATATACTACTATATAGTA